TTTCGAATCCTGGGGATTGTAACAATAGATCCAATTGGATTAAATTGACTGCATTAATCAAAGATTGTGCTCAGCTGTGATTGGCCCAACTCAATTTGAAATTTGAAACTTGGACGTCCATGTCAAAATGGCATTTGACGAAAGGTAGCGTCAGCCACCATGCAGCAGCGGCGTTACACGAACGCTGAGCGCAAGGCGCTCCTTAAGAAGTTTCATGTGTCCGTCCTCAACGACAACCAGTGTTGCCAACAGCACGCCAATCACTCCAGGGACGTGGAAAGGATCGCGAGCGAAAGAAGCGAAGATTCTGGCCAGCCGCCGCCATGGCCGCTTGGCAACACTGGGCGGCCAGGGGCGGAAGTCATTGTTCCCCTTCAAGGACGACCTGCTGGGGTATATGTGTGACACATGAGCTATGCCCCTGGAAGTAAGTCCTTTTTGTCAACCGTGAGTGCTACCAACTGTAGGGAGTTGATAACGCAGAGGATATCGTAAAACTGATTGATTGGCGTTATCTACATCTACATGCATGACTACTGTGACTATACTATATCTAATGCTATACATACGTGCGCTCTGCAGAAGGAACTTCTGGTGTCCATGGCCGAGCACGCCGCACGCCAATCGAGCTTGGTCGTAAACTGACGTCTGATTGGTCGATAACCCTTTGACGCCACTGGAGTGATGTCGCTACACTCGACCTCGTTGCGCAAATCATGTCAGTAGTATTGGTAACCGTCAGGACCGTCCAGGTTGAATTTCGTTTCGTCGGTAAAGAGCGTAGTCTTCATGGATTCGAGCGTGTTGAGCTGCTTGGACGCGAATTCGACACGACACTTTCGATGTTCGGACGTCAGCCGAGGTCCCGAGCGGCGTTTGATGTACTTCGCAAATTTGGACATTTTGAGAACAGTTAGGACACAAGTTCGCTTTACTTTACCATCTAGTGCAGCGGATATCTGCCTAGCTGACATACCCTTTCGGGTAGCGAGTCGGAAGATCCGTCGTACTTCTCGACGCGTCATCTTCAGGCGTCTTCCACCAATTGACGGTGCTGAATCCCGGGCTAGGTTGGCAATACACGTTCGAACGAGTTTATCGCTTCGTCCCAATGTTCTGGCGATCCATCAAAGCGGCTTTTTGAGGCGCAAATAAGCCTTTTGTTTGGCCACGCTCGATGTCGGTGACGTTTTTGCCGCGAGGCATCGCCAAATGTGGTGATTATGCTGATTTTGGCGCCGAAATGGTCTTGTTCAATCGCGTAATCAATTTGATTACAAATTCGCATTCTGATTGGCCAAAAATCGAACTTTTCGTGGATTTTCGCAAACTTCGTCTATAGACGGCACAACGACACACACAAATTACTATATCGCGGCCATTCCTTGGCCAAGACCACTCATTCTTACCGGTTCACAAAGGAGACCATTATTCCGATATTATTTTAGACAGGTTTACGTCTTAGCCAATCATGGCATCGCGTCAAGCATCAATTGGACTTCTGGGTCCGTCCAACCCTTGACTCGGGATGGCTTTGCCATGCTCGTGGTGGATAATGAAGTGACTTCGACACAAATTGCCATCGAGGCCTCGAGTTTTGAATGGTTAATTATCTCCAATTAAAACACCGCATTATTCTGTGGCTGACTGATTTGAGTCGGTTTTGGCAGGAGCTTTTCAAAATGACATCAATATTATTCATTCAATGTACAGATAATATTTGTATCATAGTGGGATTCAAAAGAAGTTTGCGACGGTTTTGGAAGTCTCCCATTGGCAGTCGGAGGTCACATCCGGCGGTTCAGTTGGCTGTGTAGAGGGTACGTTACTGCATGGAGCTAAAGGGACCATAACAAAGTTTCTGGTATACAAGCCGCCCAGCGTCTAGATTTCCATAATCCCCAAAATCTATCCATTTCAATGCCGATGCCAACAGACGGACTTATCCAGAACTTACTGTTCTTTGTTATTACAGGGAGTACAGTACTTACAGTTAGTAACGTTACTGTCATACTACGTAGTAGTACTAGTACTGGAGTACTATGTACTGGTGCAGATGCTCTTAATTCAAACTGGAGTAATTTCCTCGTTGACCTAACGTTACCTTTTTTCTTCAATTTCACCTTGAACCTACGTAGCTGTGTTGTGCACAGTATATTTGCATTTTGGTACAACAATGGATGACTGCCAAAAATCTCGCAAACGAAAATAAGCTCGTCAAATTCTTCCGGATAGAAGAATTTTGGGGCAAACCCAAATTCATCTCGTTCTGGAAATATCAATTTATAGAGGCTTTGATGTATTAGTTTGCATATATTTCGGTTTGTGCGGTCAAATATGCAGTTGTGGCAACCCCAAAGGTGCGACGGGATCTACCAGAAACGGCATATTTTTACCGCGAGACGGCAAATTGGCCGTTTTTACCGTTTTGTGACCACCCGACGGCAAAATACAGGAGCCAATCATAAACACAAAGCATTATATTTCCACCAATAAGAGGCATGTATTTGAGCACGGACATTTCCATACTACCAGTAAATTCCAATCCATGCATCTGCTCTATTTTGAGATGACCGGATACGACATTGGTCAGTTCTATATCCAATCACTACGATTAATTGGCTATCAATGGACGGGGTGGGAACTTCACCACTGACGAGGACTGTCAGCTTGTTCGTTCATGGTTGAACATATCCCAAGATGGGTGTAAGGGGAGCAAAAGGCCGAGCGGTTTTGGGCCTGCGTGGAGGCGAACTATTGCACCTATACAGTCCGGCCGGAAACTATAGACGCACCTCGCAATTTTCGAGTTCATGATGATATCATTTGATTCAGCTCGAACCTTAAGTGTCCCCACATCGAACAGTGATGTAAAAGGGTCCCGCAAGAGGACTTGAACTAAAGATCAGTTGAAATGTTGCAAAGATCATTTTTCATGTTTTGGACTGGCCGGAAACTATAGACGCAGTTACTAATTTTGGCACTACTTGTCGATGCTGTGGCCTCTGCGCAGAATAACTTGCGCCATTCGAGTCAGTATACCGTCTACCAAATGTTGCAAGTACTCTTGATCAATTTCGCGCCACGAAGCAAGGATTTGGGCATTTAAACCTTCCTTAGAGTCGAATTGTCGTCCATTGGCGTACACCTTCCGGGCCAGGACCCCCCAGACGTTCTCAATTGGGTTAAGATCGGGGCTCTTCGAAGGCCAATCCATCGTGGGCCATGCCAATTGCTTCAGCCAAGTCGTCGAAAGCTGGGAGGTATGGATACTAGCATTGTCTTGTTGGAAAACTGCAGTATTATACCGTCGACCCATTGGGGATGTCACCTTGCTTTTTCTAGACAGACCGTTAACGTTATTTATATAACAACGTTATGTACTGTATCATTCCGTTGTACTACCGGAAGTGTAGGAGAGCAAGAGTTTATATTTGTTCCACATCGCCTTGTCATTCCATAATGCTGCGTTCCTTGCTGCAGAATGGCAATTTGATTGAATGGTTTGTTTTCGTCAATGCTGCGACGGTATCTACCGGTAAATCCGTCATTTTCACCGTATTCTGAACAATACAGGAGCCAATCATTGACTACTATTTGATGTATTTTCACCAATCAATTGCAAGCAAGGATATCTCGGTAGTTAGATGCTCTCAGAAGCACGGTTGGTTCGAACAAACACAGCGCAATTGAGATCCTCCTTTGACTATCCTACTGACTGGGTTGAGCGAATCTGCTCGTTAGCATTTTGGTACCTTTCAAGGCCAACAAGTGGGCAAATGGACCCTCCATGCAGATTGAAATCGCAGTTTCGTCTTGATCAACATGAACTCTAGTCGGTATCACAATGTACTTTGGGATTTCTTGATCGTATGGCCCAATTCGTTGCCTATATCGTTATCGTCGTTGTTCCATGCTTCCATCAGCCGATCACCATAACCGGACGGGCCTGTTATGCGGATTATTTGCCGTTTTCACCGAAAATACGGTGACGACAATCGTCAAAATACGGTATGAATATACCGCCTCACCATTGGGGATGCCCTAATGATGGTGTCGCGCGACGTTTAAAATCTTCTAAGATACTACGAATAGTACGAAAAAAATACAGTACTGAACTACGATTCGTGAAAGTGCAATCAATACAGCACATCTTGATTCTCAGGTAGAAATCCACACTGCATGATTCGCAACAACTTGCCGTACCCTCATCTCCAACCCTTTAATTCCCCTGATCCCACCAATGACTGCTATGGCCCAGCTCTCGGACGCTGCCGGCTTCACGAGCGTCGTGTACTTTATGGAGAGGGCGATGAACGACCCAAACTCGCCCATCTTTGAGATCGACTGGGAGCGCACGACTCACGTAAACTATGCGTTCGGCAAGCCTGCCCCCGATGGCTCGGTGGGGTTGTATGACCCGTACGCGGCCGTGGAAATCACGTACCCCCAATTCGGAGTCAACAACGTCTAGGGCGGGCGCCTGCACGGCCAATTTGGCCAAGCCAACCGGCTGAGGAAGCTATACCGGGATACCAAGTTCGATCTGTCCATTGGCGAGTGGACGCCGAGTTACGACTGAGGCGGGGCGCCAGAAGTTTGTGAGCACTTCCTTCGACCTGATGTAGAGCTTCGGGTTGGACTTCGTACGCATTGACTGGGAGTACCCCACAGAGGGCGGCAACAACCAGTCGGTGGTGCCCCATCGCCCCAACGACATCGCCAACTACCTAAAGGTGCTGCAGCTGTTCCGCCAGGAGCTCGCTAAGTTGCCGTGGAAGGCCGAGCTTAGCGTGGCATCCCCCGCGGGTTCCGACAATTACCGCCACTGGGACTTTACGGTAAACTGTGGCCTCCAGGATCACATCAACATCATGACGTATGACTTGGCTGGCGACTGGAGCGCCTACACGGACCACCAGGCCAAATTGTACAAAGACCCAAACCACCCCGCGGGCAAAGAGTACAGCGTGCACGGCGCTGTCCAGGACTACCTATATTAAGGGCAGTTGCCCTTCGGACAAGATCGTGCTGGGCATCCCCGCCTATGGTCGGTCATTTGAAGGCACTTCTGGGCTGTACGGAAACTTCACGAAGCCCACCAAGGGGTCATACACAGGCGAGCCGGGGATGTGGGAATACAAGGCAATGCCGTTGGCTCCGAGTACTTCGACGAAAAGCTAGGCTCGGCGTACAGCTACGACCCAGAGTCCAAGCTTTTTATTACGTACGAGTCGCCTATGGCAGCCAAGCTCGACTTCATCAAGAAGTACAACTTGGGAGGTACTGGTCGGGCGATGCTGACGCTGGGGCTGGCACGGCGCGATCGTTGATCACAAAGTCGTACAACTACTTTGGCAAGGAAATCATGGCTTGCTGGAAAAACAGCATCAACTACCCCGACTCCAGGTACCCCAATGTCCGTGAAGGCTCATCCCCGTCGACTACGAAGCCTGTCACGACCAAGCCTACCACCACCAAAGCGACCACCACCACCGCCCAGCCTGTGACTACCAAGGCCACACCAAGCCTTACTGCCACCCCCCTTACTTCGAGCCCAATGAACTCCATGGCCACACTTAGCCATACCACGTCATCGGCTACGCCTATCACGTCGACCCCTAATCCCCCTAACCCCACCACCACCAAGGCTACGATTCCCGTGACTTCGACCAAGGGCCCTGTGACTGTTGTGTCTGCCGGTCCTGAACTGGTAGTGACTCCTTTAGAACTCGATGCACCGGGTTCAAAGGTAAAAGAAGACTGACAATGTTAAAGGTCTTAGATCTACTGATTCACAACGCACATTTGCATCCCCTATCGAGCTCTCTTCGGTCGTGTTGACAGATCCTCGACCAATGGGCATGGAGTGCGCTTGCAAGGATACAACCTGTCTCTTGCTAAGATACTCCACACCCAACAACTCCCCCATGGTCTACACGACCTCTGGGTGCGAGATAGCGAGCACTGTCTTGGGTTTGGCGACGTTGCCGTTCTCGCAGCTCACTTAGGCCCGATCCACGAGTGGGTCGGGTGGTCGAAATATGTTATCGCAACCATCGCCGCCACCATCTCCACAAGCATGGCGGGTTGTGGCTTCAGGCGTCAGTGTGTCGTTGTCTTGGAGTCGTTTGACCTCGGCGGCCAGCACTGTTGCCGGAGCTGGGACTGCTGGGGCACGTTCCTTGTTGCTAATGCCCTTGGCGGGAGTGCGTCGGCCTCGGCCGCCATGGCCGGGAGCACGTTGCTCAGCACACCGCGCACATGGCTCCAAAACTTGGAGATGTTGAACTTGATCTCCTTATCATCGAAGTCGTAGCTGTTTCGCACCAGCGCCTTCGCGCCGTCGGGCTTGATGCCATGCATGAGCGCCTGTATGACGGCCTTGGGATGGAAGAAGTCGATGCGGCTGCCTCATCCGTGAGGATGTCTACGTACCTCGCCTGCCAGTCCGTCATGCGGTCGCTCGTGCGAAGGAGGGTGTTGTCCATCGACAGCTGTTTGAGGCGGGACGACGACAGCCTTGCTCGAAGTTGGTATGAGCATTGACGCCTCGAACATCGCCTCCCACTCCGTCTCGCGGATGTCCTTGATGGGACGATCGAATTGGAACCGCGCGTGGTGGGCGAGAGCCTCCGCCGTCATGCAGGAGCTCATCGATACCGTCCCGATGCGCACACCGCTGCTCACGCTAATAGTGTCTTGGCCGCGGGCGTACACGATGAAACGTTTGGCGAACTTCTGTTGATCGCGCTCCTTGAAGCCGTCCTTGCCATAGACAGGTGGCTTCGTGGGCGTGTACCCGCTGATGAGCGGTGCCGCCGTTGACTGTGGCAACGGGCTCGTCGGGGTTGGATGTCGCACTGGAGCCGACATCGGACGGCTGCCCTTCGTGTAGAACGTCGACCCGTCTTCGAAACCCCCTGGCGGGAGCTCCGAGCTGGTGCGATGCCACGCCGAGTCAAAGTACGGAGGCAGGCTGCTACTGCGAGCACCTGGAGGGGCCTGACCCACTCCCGAGGTTATGGGCGACCCAGGCAACTGAGTGTTCTCGGCCGTTTCCTCGGTCGGGATGTTGACCCCGGCATCGCCCTCCGCCGAGACGTCGACACCGGCTGCGCGCAGCTGCGCGTTGTATTGGGCACGCTCCTCTTGCCGCATGGCTGCAAGACGCTGGTCCATTGTAGTCTGCGCCTCTTGCTGTTGCTGCCACTGTTGTTGCTGTTGCTGCTGCATCTGTTGCCAGTTGAGGTTGGCATTGTTGAAGGCACGCTGCTGCTCCAGGTCGAGGTGCGCATTGTACCCAGACGCCTCGCGCTCCAAATTCGCCTTGAACTGCGCGGTGTGCGCCGTCGCATCTTGTTCGACCGCGTACTTGTACTGCGCAGCTGCTTGGTGCATCTGGCGCTGCTCCCACTCAAAGTGGGCTACACGCCGGTCTGCCTCGATGCGTTCGCGATGCGCCGCCAATTGCATCTCGTGCTGTTGTAGGGCATTCTCGCGCGCGCAAACATGGTCGGCCCACCCTTGGCCCTGCGCTTGCACAGGCGCCGCGTAAACGTGATGATGGAACGACGTATGTTGTGACGGTGCGATACGTTGTCCACCGTGAATTATACCCATCAACGACTGTCGGCCGTGGTAGGCTGGCACTTGGCCTGGTTGTCGGGTCGTTGTCCTTGGCACTCCATGGTAGTTGGGCGCGACGATGGACATGGCCATCGACGAGCCACTACCCACCCGCGACGACTGTCGCACTAGTGGGCGGTAGGACTGCGCTGGGAGACCACCGTAGGCTGCGCCTGGTGGGTATCCTTGTTTTTGCCCGGAAGTCTCCGGGATCCGTGGTAATGCTTGCTCACATGGGAGGCTCGCCATCGGTTCCGTTGCAGCTTCTGGCTGCGGGTTCGCCGCCGCCGCCGACGCGGTGTAGAAGCCATCGTCGAGGGTGCGGTCAGACAACGATCCATGCTGTGGGTCGTATGTCGTCGGGGGTACCAAGGCACGCGGGGTGGCGGGCTCGGGCTCCATGGTGCTTGCAAGCTTGAGTTCCTTTAGTCAAACGAGACTAATAAATTTATTGTTGTGTCTGCCGGTCCTGAACTGGCAGTGACTCCTTTAGAACTCGATGCACCGGGTTCAAAGGTAAAAGAAGACTGACAATGTTAAAGGTCTTAGATCTACTGATTCACAACGCATATTTGCATCCCCTATCGAGCTCTCTTCGGTCGTGTTGACAGATCCTCGACCAATGGGCATGGAGTGCGCTTGCAAGGATACAACCTGTTTCTTGCTAAGATACTCCACACCCAACAGTGACCCCCACCACTGCGTCGTCGAGCGACCAATGCGAGGGAAACCACAACACATGCTTTTGGCCGTTGACCCACCAAGTGCTACCTTACAACCAATCCGATTGCAAGCTCTTCACCAGCTTTGTGTGGTGCCCATAATGGTCTTCAGAACTATGAACAATAATTTGGCGCGTAACATCAAAATTGACTGTGAGCCAACGTGATATGGTTTGTTGGGGTGCGTACATCGAAGTAACGTCAATAACAATATGCTGCAGGTACACGACCTACTTATATTACCAAATCCTAGTAATGAATATGAAAGTTTGATGGGTTATCAAGGTGTATAAATACTGACTTACGCACAAGTAGCATCAGTGTACTTAAATATTCCGACAAGATACTCATTCCGATACCCCATTCCGACGACGATTCTTTTGGATACTCCTAAATAGGAAGGGTACAGTGAAAGCGTAAGGGCTCACATATACACCTAGAATGAAGACCTACTGCGTCCGTAGGGTAAGTCTTTCGTATGTATGGTGAGGGTAACATGAACTAAGGTGCACTTTCTCACGTGCAAACATAACTACAACGAGCAGCGGCCTCCTTATGACGGATATCACATTCCTATATTTAGCAAACCTGATTAGGAGTATCTGTCGAAATATCGGAATATGTCGAACTATTTGATGAACTATTGCTGCATTTAAATTTGTATTATTTGTATGTGAGACCAGGATATATATCAGATTCCATTCCGACAAGTTTCGTCGGAATGTGTCGGAACCGACAGAAATTGTGGTAGCCCTACCCCTAAATGACTTTGATTGGTCTTAATGATGTAGGATAAGTTACTACTACAATATGATAGGTAGAAATAGATAATAGAGGCGATTCATTGGCCAAAATTAGTCCATACAAATACTAAGTGAGGTCGGAATATTGATTATATTCATCGGTAGTACAGTAGGTACGAGCACAACGTGGGCATTGTTGTACTGTACTTGACCAAAATGCAAATATACTGTGCACAGCTAGGTTCAAGGTGAAATATAAAAAGGCAGGTCCTACCGGGACTCGAACCGGGAATACAAGATTCAGAGTCTTAGGTGCTAATAACCATTACACTATAGGACCGTAATATGCGATCAGAATCAAAGTATCAAGTATGATGGAGTACCTTGTACGAAGTACATCGACATCTTTAAAGGGGCTGGTCTGCGAACATTCCCGTCCACGCTTTTTGAAGTATGGACGCAAATACGACTCCTGATTGGCTAAAACGTGGATTTTTCCGGATAACACAACCTCAAAAGCAGGGACGCCTGAGTTGAAGCAGGGATGATTCATCCCTGCTTTTGAGTTTTGCACGTTTTCGATAGAAACTAAGAAACACTTTTGATATATTTTCAAAATCCTCGAAAATAGTTCGGATAACATCCCTGCCTTAAAGCCTGGACGGTTTTTCACAGACTAGCCCCAAAGGTATCTACAGTATCGCATAAATTATCGTGGTCGTGGGCATTGGAGGACTACCAAAACCTCCGCAACCACCATTTCTGGATCATTTCGCATCCGGATAGGGGTTCATTTTTAATCTTGTCGAAGCCCATGCGCCAGAATTGCATCAAACCCCCAAATTATACTACAGGCCACAGTTCATTGGTCATAAATATTTCAATAAATATAGTACGATTGGTTAAAAGTACACTGGTTGCGAAGACACGACAACATTGGAGATGCACTTAACGCGGCCATGATAGCGTACTGGACCCGCCGTCAAAGTCATGGAAGGGCAGCCACTCGGTGTCGTCGGAGCAATACACTGAAGAGCCTACAGAGGAGGGTGTGCGCGTGCGCAGAAGAAGTCGCAGGAGATGGTAGGATCAAGAATAAATTGATAGCGTTAAGACTACTACGCTATCACTAAGCTACGCGCAACCAACCATTGATGTATCGCTGGGAGAACCCTTGGTTGCGAAAGGACACCTTGGACTGAAGAGGTGTCGACTAGTCATTCGGTTGGTAACCGGATGATGGGCACGGTTACACCCTCCACTACTTAAGACAGAACGTGCCATCATCACGTGGTCAGATATGAGAGGGAACTATGACGTGACAGTAGAGACTGTAGATGACAGACGAAGGCAAGAAGCGTAAGGCGAGTGAAATCGCCGAGGATGCCGACGACAGCTTGGAAGAGGCCGAAGCGCCGGCGCCACAGCCGAGTCGGACGACGACGACAGAGTGGCGCCGACCGAGGATGTGGCCGAAGTGGCGCAGCGCAAGGCTCATTGGGAGGCCAAGGTGGCCGTGAAGCGTGAACGGCTTGGTAAACTGGAGCAGTAAGATGTTGCAGACTTGGTGAAAAGCGCCATGCAGACAGTTGGCGCCGAAGGTGTGCTGAAGCTGCTGGAGCAGTATTTGGTACGGGAGGAGCCAAATACTGCTGGTCGCCAAGAAGGCAAAGCGTGTCGAAGAGGCCAAGGCGATCGCAGCGGCTGCGGCGAAAGCGGCTAAGGAGGCTGCAGAAGCAGTGAGTAAGGCGGCCAGCTGAGGTGTGACTGGGGCACCATCGTGTGGTGAAGGACATCCCAACACTGTGGGCGTTGGGGGAAATGAAGGAAAGGTGACCGTCAAGGGGGTTGCCGTGGAGACGGAAGCCAAAGTGAAAGGCGAATTTGGTGGACGGGAGCGGACCAGCATCGCCCGAGACGAAGTTTTCGAGCGAGAGTTGGGGTTCCACTGGAATCGCTGGCGAATCTTCACGCCTGCCGGGTAGGTGGCGTGGACTTGGGGTACTTGCGCAACATTGCGCGCCGTTTGACAGTGATGGGCGAGTTTAACGAAACTCGTGATGACTGGGGGTACCAGACGACCGATGCTGCCGGCGTGGAACGATACCTGCGCTTGTTTGCAAGCGCCCAATCGTTTGAGCTGCAGGTTTTGTGGATGCTGCTGGCCTTGGAATGCATGCAGCGTGCGAGGGTGAGTTTTCACCAGTTCGATGAGTTCAAAGGCGCCATGCGTGAGTTGCATGAACGGGAGCGCCTGTAGCGCTGGGTTGTGGACGTGGGGCGGATCGAGCTTTGCAATGATGAGACATTGCTTGAGTACCTTGTACCGTTTGTGTGGACGCTGGCTGGACAAGGCAGCGGGTGGAATGGGCAGTTGCCGCTGACAGCGGGGCGGTTGGCCAACTCGCTGTCTAGTTTCGCCGGGGTGGGGCGACAGAAGCATGGGCGTTTGGAAGCTCGGTCTGTCGCGCGGATCGACGCCCACGTAAATATGCGCGAACCTGAGGTAAGTTTTGCTTGATGTAATCCTCTAAATACTAAGTTGTAGTTGACCCGACTCGCACAGCGAATTGCCGACCCGTCGCTGTCCATCGCGATCTCACGATCGCGGTCGCGTGGGCGGCGAGCGCCTGGTCGAGCGTGTGGGCTTCGCTGACGGCGAGTTTCTCGACGTGTGTGCGCTAAGATGCGCAGGTGCGGGCAACGGCTGCGCAGATGGCAGCGCGATTGTCTGCGGCACGGCCGGTGAATCCGTTTGCGGGGTACAATTCGCCACAACGTGATGGTCCATTGACAGCGGCGGAGCGGCAAGCAGCCGCGGATTATTACCTGGTGGGGGCGCGGGCGGTTGTTGCGCCGCAGCAAGGGGTGGGGCCGATGTCACGGGCGGCGGAAGAGGAAGAAGAGTCACCGCGGGTCCCAGAGGATCGTTTGCCGTCGCTTCATCGGGCGTAGATGTAGATAATGGGGGTAAATACCGTTTGAGTTACCCACATAAAATGTTGGATGGATCTGCCATGAGTTAGGCAGATCGAGCTTGTGTTGGTTGGACTGACCACGCGGAGGACGGTAAAGGGGTCCCGTGCCAAGCACTGCGTAGCTTGACGTTGGAGGACATTCCCACCGGATGGGTGCGGAATGCATGGGCGGGTACCGCCGACCTGCGGAGGAGAACTTGTTCGCCAGCGGCGAAAGACGCAAGGTTAGAACGGCCATGTTTGTTGACTTGATTTGATTGGCGCTGCTGAGCGGCAGCGATGCTGTCATGGATCTGTTGCATGATAGAGATTCAACGGGAGAGGAAGCTCTGGATGGTTTGGAGAGTGTGGCTGGGGGCGTTGGGGAGTACGCCTGCAGAGGAGAGCCGCGCAGTGATTCCACCCCCACTTGAGACCGAACCGTCGAGCATCGGAGGGAGACGGGGGTGTTGGAGATGGACCGCATAATGGGGCGAAAAGCCAGTGGACGCCTGAACCGAGGCGTTGTAAGCGAAAACCGCATTCTGTAACGTGACAGCCCACGAGGAACCGGTAGATACGGAGTAGCTCCAAAGAATATCTTTGAGGACGCGGTTGGTGCGCTCCATTTGACCGTCGGACTCGGGGTGGTCCGAAGTCGACATGTCCAGCGAGGTGTCGCACAGGGCGAAAAGGGTGGACCAAAACTTCGCCGTGAACCGCGGGTCGCGGTCCGAAACGATGGAGCGAGGCAGGCCGAAGCGACAGAAAACGTGGTCGAAAAAGAGGCGAGCGGCGTCCGCGCCGCTCAGCGTGTCCCGGACGGGGACGGCAATAACATATTTTGACTCGCGGCAGGCCTAACATGAAATCCATGCTGACGGACGACCAAAGTTCGTCGGGAATAGGCACAGGTTGGGGCGGTGCCCGAGAGGAGGCGGTGATTTTAGTGCGCTGGCAAGCGTCGCAGTAAGCGACGTAGCGCAAAATGGATTTGTAGATGCGGGGCCACCAGTACGAACGCGCCAGGACCGCGTGCATTTTGTCGCGGCCAAAATGGCCGCCACTGGGGGAGTCATGGTACAACCGGAGGAGAGTGAGGCGCAGCTGCAAGTCCGGGGTGGGTTGGAACATCAAAAGCCCATCGGCGAGGGCGAAGCGATGTAAGGCCGACGAAGCGCGGCGGGGTTTGGGGGAAACGGGGTCGGTGAGTGCCGCCAGGCGCGACGAGCAGTCAGCGTCAAAGGGGTACGCCGCGCGAATTCGATCGTGAAGACCGGACGTCAAAGACAGATCGTAGTCAGTTCAAGATCGGGACGCCGGGACAGGGCGTCGGCCAGGATGTGTTATCGTCTCATCGCAGACTTCCACATTGGACACGGCGACGTCAACCTGACGGCCCTGCACGACTACTTATGTCATATATCGAGGACGCATCGATCCATCGTCCTTACCGGGCTTGTACTGAATCGAAAATGTGAATTCGGAGAAGAACGAAATCCACGCGCCATGCGCTGCGAAATGTGTGGTGTGTTGGTCGCCGTGCGTAAAGACGCATGATCGGTGTAAACCACGAAAGGTTTACCGCCGAGGAGGTAGATCCGGAACTTGGTTAGGGAGTACTTCATGGAGAGAAGTTCCAAGTCATGAACTGGATACGCCCGCTCAGCCGCGAGGCGTCGGAAACGACGGAGAAAGGTTTGTCGAAGTCCGGGAGCGCCAAGATCGGGGCGCGTTGAAGAAGGTTGGTTTTGAGACCTTCGAAGGCCGACTGACAAGCGGAATCCTAAACCCAAGGAGCGTCCTTCACGAGAAGCCGAAACAACGGCTGGGCGATGTCCGCAAAGTTTTGCGAGTATTTGTGGATGTACGTCGCAAGGCCCAGCCAGCGACGAAGATCCTTGACAGAGGAGGGAATAGGCCACTCCGAAAGGGCCTTGATCTTTTCGGGATCAGCCCGACATCCTTTCACCCCCACCAAATTCCCCAGGACCGGTATTTCGTCGACGCCAAACATTCATTTGGCGAGGTTGGCATAGAAGCCGTTGGCACGGAGGACTTCAAACACCTTGCGGAGGTGGCCGCGGTGAACGTCAAGATCGGACTGCGCGGGTGAAGCGCAACTGTGAACGTAAATGTCGTGGCTGGTCATGCCAGCCACTCCCACAACATGTCACTCGGCGTAGAAACTGCCGTTTTAGGGATGCCACACAGACGCATCAGGATCTGGTAAAAGCTATCGCGGAGGTTGATGGTGGAAAATGGTAGATCGACCCATGCCGTCGATAATAACGTCCTTGCGAGGAATGGGCGTCTGAGCCAGAATCGTGGCTGCGTTCAATTTTTAAAGGCGTGTACAATACGCCATTTCCCACCGGGCTTCTTCACACAGAAGGTCGGGCTGCTGTGAGGGAAAATGCTCTCGCGGACGTGACCCGTCGCCTTGCGGGCCGCGAAGAAGGCGTCGATGGCGTCGACTTGGTCGCGAGGAAGTGGCCATTGCCGTGTGACGCAACACTTAGCGCCGGGCACGAGGTCAATCTCGTGTTAAACGCCCTTGTCGACTGGATGTCGACATGGCACCTCGTCGGGGAAGACGTCCTCAAACTCTTTGAGGAGGTCGTAATAGGGGTTGGACCTCAGGGAGTCCCACGTCTGGGACTTCAAAGGAGCAGCGAGAACCGAATCATCCACGGTCGAGGTCGAAAAGAGATCCATCTCTTCTTCGACAGTGATCATCGCCAACGCGGCGATATCGTGGCAAAAATGAGCTTCCACTCGCTTGAGATTCCACAATCGAGTGGAAGCTCATATCCATATCTGGCATTTCCAGGATCTCGGAAGACGTCCGCGGGAGTTCATTCAAATTACACGTTTCTTCGTTAAACGTGCCGCCAAGGTCAAGGCAGCAATCGGGGGCAATGACGGAGCCTCACCGATGACAACAGAGGGCGACCCTGTTGGGGGAACGAAAGGGGGTTTGTGCAGCACCGTGGCTGGGCCCGTTGGGGCCGCGGGTGCTAGGCCAGCGAGCGCGCTGTGGGGTTAGGAGAGGCGAGATCAGTACTCATCGCTTCTAACGGAGGCCCAAGCGGGTTGGTGGTGGACGGGGAAAGGTGATCGGCAGCCCGCCGATGAATCCAGGGTTGGCTCGCGTTGAGCCAAGTAACCTTGTGCACGGATTTGGCCTTCCAATTAATCCATGGCTGGTGGGACTCCAGCCAGGACATCCCGTTGATCAGATCCCATCGCTCATTGAGGTCGATAAAATAGAATGGTTCGACCGAGTCGAAACCGTCGAAGGTGATGGAAACGTCGACGATTATGCGTGGTTGAGACGCAGTGTGGCCGTCGGCCATCTTGACGCGAACCCTATCGGAGGGATCCGAAGAGGGTAAGCGGTTGAAGCGAGAGAGCGTAGATCGGCTGGCGTAGTTTTTGGACGACCCACAATCGAATAAAGTAGAGAGCTTGGCCGGAAAGCCAGGCACGACAAGTTCCAAACGAATCATTTTGTTGGGTTGGAGCCCAACACGACACAGAAAGGTCTGTGTCCGAGACTAGGTCCTGAGAGTGTGTCAGCGCGCCACACATCTCCAAAGGACCTAGGGTGTCCCCAGTACGTCGCCTCGCGCCTACTGGGAGTGACCGTTTCCCGCCGCACTCGAGCTTGGAGCAGGGCGGAAAGGCGGGCGTGAGGCGAGATGGCGTTCGCGATTAAAGCGGTTAGGTGGACCGCTCGGAGGACGACGCGAGTGGATATCTGGCGCGGCACGGGAGGAGCCGTGTGAGGTAGGCGCGGTTGATGCCACACGGCGAGGTGGCGTGGGAAAGTGTCCAGGGCGACCGCAATTGAAACACGTGCGGTCGTCCGATGCCTGGGTGAGCATGGAGACATCCATGTCCGAGGAAGCCGCGCGTGCGTGCGCGAAGGAGAAAAATGATTCCGAAAGCGCGATTCAGACGGCTTCTTCGAAGGTGTCCTGGTAGGCGCGAAACCGCTGGGTGCGCCGGGCCTTGGTTGAGATCGTCCATGAAAACGGTCACACGTAGGGACTCCGCGAGTGATTCTTCATCGTTAATATTCGCGGCTAAGAAGCGAACGTCATGGATGAACTGTTGAAGCGAACGTTTCCCTTGCATGCCAGATACTGCGAGCGACAATGAAAATCGCTGTTGGGCGGCAGGAACCTTGCATTTAGTTCGGTCTCAAAGACCGCGAAGGAAGGGAAGCAATGATGGTCCGTCAAGCGTTTGGTGAACGCCCAATCTTCCGCAAGACCGATGGGTTTCCGACTCTAAAGCGCGCATGAGGCGCTCAATCTCATCGTGAGCGATGCGCAGGGAATCTTGGAGGGTGCGACCATGTGTCGTCATGGTGGAGGCTTGCACTTCTAAGGTCGCGATTTTCTCGCGAACTACGCCGAGAGAATCTTCAAGGTTTCACCCGTGCGAAGACATTTGAGTGACTTGTTCTTCCAATGTCTTCTGGGCGGCCGTAGCTTCGGCGACCAAGAGTTCGATCGTGCTGCCGATGCCTTCGACAAGGCGTGTTTGGTTATCAGGAGTCATCCCGCCAAGGAGTAGCGCGGTATTGTTGTCGCCAAATCCGCAACGCAAAAGAGCGAGGACCGCCTGGTGGGCTGCGGTGTTGGTGGAGGACATAGTGTTGGTCGACTGGACGAACGTGGAGTGCTACCAAGTGTGAGCGTGCGCAGAGGATGACGCTGGAGAAGGTATAATCAAGAATGAATTGATAGCGTTAAGACTACTACGTTATCACTAAGCTACGCGCAACCAACCATTGATGTATGCTCGGGAGAACACCTTGGTTGTGCAAGAGAACATGTTGGTATGCGAAAGGACACCTTGGCCTGAAGAGGTGTCGGCTAGTCATCCGGTTGGGAACCGGATGATGGGCATGGTTACCGAGGGTGTAGTACAGCGACGATAAAGGAGTCCTCTGCAATACTCCTCCGTCCACCATCGTCGTTCGAACTCGGCGGGTGGAAAACGGTGGAGTGCAACGAAGATGGTGGACGGTGAAATGATGTGCCGTGGACCGATGGAAAAGGAAGTGCAGCGATCATGGAGGATGGCCACCACTGCGCTCGCCTGCAGCGGACTGTGGGGTACAGCGACAGAGAAAGTCATCGCAATAAAGCGCAGCAGGTACTCAAGACGTTTTAACGACTCGCCGAGAGCAAACGTTTTATCATCTCCGCTTAGTGTGTGGTAGTGTGTGCACGGGTGGACATC